CCCATCCCATATAGGCTGTTTCACTAACAGGAGCTAACCTGCTTAAAGACAGGAATAACTTCTCTAAAAACATAAAGCGGGGTATATGCCATTGGAAAAGGAATAAAGAGCATTTTATTTTCACTGACTACAATTACACTAAGAAAAAGACTCCCAAATCCTCTGTCTTGCAAAGAATCCAGATTTCCCCATCATTCTTTGCCTTTTTCATCAACAAGTAGTACATTGTTTAAGGTTCAAAGGTGCTCATTTACCGAGAGAGACAGATTCTGATAAATGAAAGGCACAAAGCAAAAGCATGCTTATTCAGTTAGCTTTACTGTGTTTCTGTCTGCCATGCTCAGAGCTTTAGAGCATTTGTAACTGATAATCATTTCAGATAGAGGGCATGTGGCTTGTGGAACAAGGGGGTTAGACAAAAAAATTAGTTTCCCTCTTGGCATTGAAACAAGATGCACCTTGCTTAGCAAAAAGGTGATACCACAAGGGGAATCAGACCAAAAAAAGATGATCTCTGTGTTTTGACCTGTTAGAACAGGGAGCTGTTAGGAGAATAACTTTCATCAACTCCAGAAAAAGAAAACCAAACATGCCCCTACAGCAAATGCTTAAAGACATCTCATACTCCATTGTTTTTCTGTTTCATTGTCTTCAGTATTTGCCACATACTGTACACGCGCCTTCAAAACAGAACTCGTCTCCTGCCATCCACTCACTGTTTTCATCACTTCTTCCCATTTCATTTAGCAAATAGGGCAGTACCAAAAAACACGCTCTTATATATTCAGCATGTGTTTCATATAAAGGCTACAGAATATAGATCCACAGAGAATGTTACACATTCACAAAATTACAATTTATAGAACTAAAATAAACTACTTAGACAAACTGCTATTAATGATTCATTCATCAGTGCAAACGTTCTCAGGTGAACTGGGTGTGCTCAGATTTTTTTGATTGCACCATCGTCTTTCCTTTGCAATTCTGGTTCTACCTATCTAGGTTTGTTATGAAGTAGCTGAGCCTGTAAAGTAGGTGTGGCCTGCAAAGAAAACCTATAAACATACATTGAGAAAACCAGCTCCAAGACCATTTGCCTCTTCTCTGAATAAAAATATTTTTGTGCAAACTTATTATCCACATATATCAGACATATTCCTCTTGAAAATATAACCTTCTGATTGCCTTGGCTATCGCTCGTACGGGGTGTATCCATCTCCAGCTGTGTATACTTTATGCTTGTACTTATTTTTTTAAATCTCTAAATAGATTTCTCTCTTACTATTACTGGAGGTTACCCTAAATGTTACCCAAAAGACCTTGGTAACGTCAGCTGATTACAAAGGCCCAGCCTCCCAAGACGTTATTGCATTAATTATAGACGTGTCCAGGCTGATGATACATTAGGAAAAAAAAAAAAAAACCAGCTACTCTCAGCTGCATGTTTATTGCCCACTTTCAAAAAAATATTTATTTTAATCCCACCATTGTGCTTCTATTTGTCAGCTGAGTGTACTCCTAAATTAAATAATTACTTGGATTTGATATTATTTGTTAGATAACACAATCCTTGTGGTAAAAATTACTGTGATCCACTCTAGAAGTCTAATATCTGCAGGATGTTAGAGAGATGACTTGTATCAGTGGGGAGGTAGTGATAAATACTACTGTGCACATTCTAACTAAAGAAGAAACAAAGACTTTTAACTCATTCCAGAACTGATCTCCAAGGCATGAAAGGGCCTATCTTCTAAAGCTATGAGCCAGCCCAAACATCTGGTCTTGTAGGAGTGCAGAGAGGGTAGGGAGAGGGAGTCCTGTGGTTAGACTCCTTACTCTTCCTCATACTGCAGTGAAACTGTTAGCAACTACTGATTCGTCTGCAGCTCCACAGAGCTAAGGCTCAGCACCGACAGATCCCTCGGTCAACCACTAGCTCTGACTTCTTTGGGTCTTTGGCTCCCTTCTGTAAAAGGGACACAGTAGTGCCCTTCCCCGTGGAGCAACAAGACCCTGTTCGTCCTGTTTGATTTTGGTATCACTGTTACTCATGTTAGTGGTGCTGCTCTGTTCCACTCCCAAATGACTTCCCATTCTTTACATACTGCTATCACAACAAAACAGTGATATCAGCAGAGCATCTCAAAGCAAAAGGATTGAAGAAATGGAAAACAGTGAATGGCTCCTCTAGGCTCCTGCTGGGAGAGGATACCAGGCTCTGGGGAATCACCAGCTTGGCAGGTTTTCTGTTAGTTAAGGAAAGGTTCTTCTATAGGAGATTTTCTCTCTGTAGGAGTACGAGGACATACTGTACAGTTGCAGACCAGTAAATACATCTATGAATATACTGCACTGCCCTAGGATTCACAAAGGAAATCTCACTAGGAATGTCTCCCAAGTGAAACAACTTACCCAAACCTGCTCCAGATTCAAATTCAGATCTTGTTGCTTTACTAAGAAATATTTTACAGTTGCTTGTTGCTAACAGTATCTAACAACAACACATTTACTTAAAAATAAGCAATCAACTAGTTTCACATACACCACCTCTTCTCTCAGGATGAGCAAGTTCCTCTCCCTTCTGGCAAAACCCCACAACAATCATTAAGATACCATAGCAATCATTAAGATGGGGAGAGACACTTACCGTGACCCGGAAGGGCGTCGTGGCAGCAGGCTCCATGGTGGGGTTCTTCTCAGTGACCCCGCTGGGCATGCTGCGCCTCTGCCCACACCTCTCCGGGGGGGACTCTGTGGATGATACAAAAAACAAAGGACAATTACAAACACACAAGCACAGGAACAGTGCAGGAACATCAGCAGGCCATGCAAAATGTGGCTTCTTCCTTTGAGATGCCCTTGCAAATGAGCCAACACAACAACCCCGCTGTATCTGCTCGTATTTCCTACAGCCGCCTAGAACAACGTTCAATCAGCAAGACTTTCACCTTCAACAATTAGCATTTTTTATACAACTGTAAGCTTCAGATAATGCCTGACAGGTTGGCATTATCATTATTTCCAGTCTGCAGATGGGTAAACAGAAAATGTATTGAGCTGAGTGAGAATTATATGCAAAGTACAGATCCATGCACTTGTGGACTTGATACTCCTAAGGGAAACTACTAATGGGGTTACAGGTGCAGGATGCTTAAGTTACCTCTCCAATTCCTCTAGCAATTTGCTTTGTAACTAGGAAAAAATTATTAAATCCTGCATTTGCTAAAGTATAAAATGTGGATAGGAATACTTACCTCCTTCCCTGCTGGTGAGGAAGGCAGGGGGCTGAAAAGGCTAAATTGACAAATATGCCTAACACTGAGAAGGTTTAGAAAGATATTAGGTAAGGTCAGCAACAGCGTTATGAGGTGGTGTTTCCTCGGTTCACAGACCCTCTTTGAAAGCACCATGCAACTCATAAAAATAGATCTATTTCCAAGTTGCCATTCAATGATGCTCAGACCTTGTAACAAGCTTCCCTTCTCAAACCATTCGAGAGCCCTTATTAGCCAAGCATTTCCATCGCCCAAAAGGCAGAGCTGTGTCATCTCCATGCTGTTGATCAGGAAGTCTAGAAAATGGGCAGGGCCTGTGGTCATGATCATGTAGGCATTTAGTGATAATTTCACAAAAATATTCAGGTGTCCAGACTACAGTGTTCTCAGGAGTGGACACATGACATAAGGGCTGAAGAATGCTCCTCCTCGAACAGTGTTGCGGCTCTCCAGGAGGTGAGGAGGCTCCCTGCTTGAGAGGGGACTGTACAGTCTTCTGTATGAATCTACATGGGTCAGAGACCTGCGCATGGCTTTGCAAGTTAAGAAAATGTCTTTATATAGATCTCTACAGCGAGGCAAATAGGTTAGAAGTAACAGCTCAATCATGTTTATGAGCAGAGTTTAAGGCCATGTAAAGTGCCAGGAGTACAAAACAAAGCCCTGAGCAAATCTCATAGTAGTGCACCTTCATTTTCAACCACCAGTTACTTTGCTGCTCCTTGGAAAGTAAGCACACGGGATTCTTTTGAGCCGAGTGCTTCTTTTCTGCTTGTCCCTGCCCTGCTGTGGCACTGACCATATCCAACAGTGGGAACTCTACTGTAATTTCCACTCAGAGCCAGACCTTTGGGGACATGAAGAATTTTTAGATTCAAAATCAGCCCAAAACTGTTTAAGAATTGTCAGAATGGGTACAAAAATTAAACAAATATCAGGTGGTATATAAATACACTGGTAAGGTGCAAGCTGGGGAAAGGCTTTTGTCAAAAACTGTCTTCTTTAGGCTTTCTTTTTTTTTGCCACACACCAATACATATCAAAATATTGTCTTCTGCCATCAAATCACAGTCTCCTGAATACAGAATAGTGCAGGCTTCAGAGAAGATGAATGCAGCTTATACTTCTTATTCTCCCAGGCCCCAGAATCTTCTCTACTCTTTTATTTATCCACATCCACTGGGTTGGACTTTTGTTAACTGAAATTCTCCCTTTCTGTAGGCTTCTTTTCCACAAATATTTTCTGTCCTTCATGTCACCTTATCAACAAACCCTTCTGATGTATAGAAATCCCTATAACTTTTGAAAGACAGTGTCTGGATATGTAACACTGAGTTATTTACTAAACAATATGGAATCCAAGCAAAGACAACAGCAAATCAACAACAATTTCAGAATGACACTGAAAAGCAGATTTTTCACACGGTCATTCTTCTCTTTTTTTAAAAATGATGAGCATAAAAATAAATTTTAAAATGGAGCTGAAATAAACATTGGGGGAACTCATTCTCTTACACAATTTCACAGGCAACAGGCATGCCAATGCATATTACATCATTGCTAGGATTCTTGGTTGGGAATGAGAGGTAGCCTGAAGAAGAGTACCTGCTGCAAAAGGAAATTAGATGGTAGACTCTGCTAGAGGGAGGCTTCTACAAATTAGTATGCAAAGAAATCTAAAGATCGAACAACCTATACTTCAGAATGTCTCAGATGATGATGTTCTCGTAACTAGTGTAACTTAGAGGTGGTTTGTTTGCCAATTCTCAGCCTCTGCAATCTGTAATTTGCTGCCATCAGATTTTGGCAAGAAGGGTTGTCCCCTTAGCAAGGTTCTTCCCTTGCCAAAGACTGCCATCACCCGGGATCTGTAAGAAACAATTAATACCTGCAATTTCACTCAACAATTCCTGAGATGTATCTTAAACTATTCCAAAAGGACAGACTGTGAGATTCCACCCATGAACTGGGTGAACTGCCTGTTCAGTAACATCTTCCTTCGTTGCAAATCCCGTCCATAATTCCTCACCAGCGGCCACGTAACCCGTATGAGAGCCAGACAGCCAAAATCAGCCAGTTCATTGCTTAAACAACTTCCAGCCAAGCCTTCTAATGTCTTGGCCACTTTCTTTGCAGAATGCCGCACTTTGAATCTCAAGGAGGCAATCAAGTCCTTTGGTGTCATCTCCTTTCACACTAAGGCTCCCACCCCATTCCTTTGAATGGTGGCCTTCTTTTTTTTGGACTGTCATAAAGAAACTACTTGATTACAGCATTTTGAAAGTGAGTTCAAGATGACAAGACACCTGAAGAAGCTGCTTTGCATTTTCTTAATGACCAGAAAAACAAACGTTGTTTAAAGCATTTCTCATACACTTGGCTGGAAAACAGGAACAACAGGATTACGTGAAAAGCGGCTGCAAGAAATTACTTTCCCCAGAGGCCTGCAGCACAGGCACAGAGTGTGCTCCCCAGCCCAGCACACTTCTCACCTTCAGCACAGCGGGAAAGTACTTGCTGTTCCGTATAGGTGTTACAGCACTATTGACTTGCACCGCAGTGGTTTGTCAGACCGAAGTGCACAATTGTCTCACTTTCGGTAATCTGTCAATCTGCTTCCTCTTTCAACCACATCGGTCAGACTTCTTCAGAGAAAGGGAGAGTGTGTTATGACCCAGGGCTGATTAATATCTGGGTCTGACTGCACTGAAGTCACAAACTGTACTCTTAAATTCTTACTTCATCATTAAAATATACCCAAAGCCGAGCCAGCAAACACATCAGTTTGATCCAGACCAAAATACAGACACGGGTTAGGACCTAAAGCTTCCTATTACTGTTAAGCTTATGGTTCATAAAGTGTTTGGAGGCCAATCTCCATTTTAGCTTAGTTTAAGCACAGTGAGTATCACTGGAGAGGGGAAGCTTTGCAGGAGAGACACATTACAAAACTCTTTGTAAGAAACCAGAAGTAACTAGAAGGAGGGTTGGGTGTGGGTGTTTGGGGCAGAGCGGGGGGAGCTGTTTGTTTTAAAGGGAGGTAAAAATAGCTTACAGGTAAATTAGTAACTCCTAACTACCAGAAGTGTACAGCAGAACAGTTTTACATAGCGAACAGTATGAATACATAAAGGTTTGAACTGCCCTTTTTACTTCTTCAGTGTTAGGGGAAAAGTCTTAGGCCAGGTTACTGGCATTAGCGACGTCTGTATAGCAAGCCCACAGTAACACCGCGGCAGACTGCCACCACATAAAAGGTCGCTGTAAGGCAATAATAAAACCTCTCTCCATAGCCACTAGAGGCTGAAAAAGAACTATCTTAATTTACAGCAGAAGATATTTAGGTTAACCACTGGAAAAAGTCTTCTCTTGGCACGGACAGTTATACGTTGGAATTGATCATCTAGAGAGATAAATGTATGTTCAAGCCTAACTCAAACCTTTCTGTGGCAGAGCTCTCCCTGTCAGGCAAGGTTCAGGTACAATGAGCTTCCTTCCCTCCCCTCTCCTGGGGCAGACAGATACCAGATGATCTCCTGAAATCCCTTCCAGCCTTACTTTCTGTGATTTCTGACAAATTTGCCCACTTGTGCATAAAACAAGCAAGCTACAAGAGATCGGATTCAGTATCTGACTTCAGCCTTTTCTTCACAACCTCTTCACACATCTTCCTCCTCTCCTGAACTTACACTCCATTTCTGGCTGGACAGACTCCACTAGCAGTTCTGTATAGCACAGAGAGTCCAGGGTCCTACACTGACCTCTGTTACAGACTCACAGCGTGACCCTTGGACATTTTAATGCTTTTCATCAGATTCACAATTGATAAAAACCTTGAAAATCCCATGGGAACACGACAAGATTTCATTAATTAATGTCTGCCATCCATTTTGTATCCCAAGATAAAGGATTCCAGAATGAAGAACAGTATTACTGCAGGCAGCTAACCACAGAATGACATTTCCAGAAGCACTTAGTATTATCAGATAACATCCTCACTAGACAGTGAATTTCTCTGTTAGTTTAACACTATCCCTCAGCTCATAGAAATTCCAGGATTATACCTTCATTTGTCCATTTATTTGCTCTAGATCAGATTTGATCTGAGGACTTAGACACAGTATCTCAGGACACTATTTGCTCTCCTGAAGTCCTCAACTTGTTATGAACTTAAAACCTCCAAATCTTTCTTTTATGACACAGAGCCCTGAAAATCACTGAAGTAACAGTCTATTAAATGAGGATTACAGTGCAGGCATACTGGATCTGAAAACGGATTCCTTGGGTATAGCGAGGAAAGCCACAGTACCCAGCAGCAGAGATGCCAGTGTGCAGAAACGGATGCCCACAGAAAGGGATGGCTTTCCGATTCTCCGCCATTTCCACCAGCCCACAATGCACCCAAATAAAGGAGGGGGTATATACAGATGAGCAATAAGAAGCTGTCTAATCACT